GGGGTAACAGAGAGAAGGGATACATACACACACACCAGACATAGTATCATAACCCTCTCTGTCCTTGTGCACCAAGGGTTAATTAATGGCCTCAATATAACTCACTGTAGTGGTAAGATTAACATTTGCTCCATTCTTCAACAGAACGTCAACTGTCTGCTTGTGTCCATTCTGACAGGCCATATGGAGTGGAGTACCACCATCCTGAGTATAGGAGAAAGTGTGACAGAGAGATATGCAGGAGAAAGTCAAATGTGACATCATTTTGCAGAGAGATGTCATACAACCCCCCATACAATAGCAAAATATCGTTTAGTTGTGCCTCCATTTTGTCCTGTTTCTAACAGATTATGGTTGTTGCCATGCAAGTCCCGTACCTACGTAGCACCACACACTCACACATATTGGAAATCATTGCTGGAATTATGTGTTATTAATAGGAAAAATATTCTTTAGGGTCCAACCAGATGGGTATAACATTGCCAAGACCAGCCATGGCATCACTAAACAGCAGTAGTACATCCAAAGTGAAAACCAGTGTGTACATAGGAATGCTAAAAATGATATCTGCGCAATGAGGCCACACACACCACAGTCAACTACCCATCTCTTACCACACATTAAAAAGTGCAAGGACAATGGTGAATGGAAAGCCAAGAATGCAGCATTGTAAAAGTAGTCACTTGAGCGTATGTGATGCAGTAGTACAATGGATGATGGCTACATATTTCAAACTGACATTGCTCGCTCATGTATATTTTCCTCCACACAAGTCCTATATTGCCGCCGCCTTTACTCACAACATGAAAACTGAACAGCTCACGCTATATACAAAGAAAGAAAACAGGACTTCAGAAGGGCTACAATTAACATACATAATAACCATAAGGGCTTAGCTACTTGGGACTTGCAAAAACACGTGAGCTGATGCAAGATGGTGGTGAAATGACTACAACAGACGGTACGGACACAGGTGGTATATATAAAAGTTATCAAAAGGTATCAAAATAATCTGACACATATAAAAGGTTAAAAAAACATCCATAGGAACACGGCAGCACAAAAATAATAGGTAAACAGTAGTGTAGGGCAGTACCATTAGACAGGTCAGCTAGCAAGACCTATAGGCATAGAAGGGTGATCTGGCCTTGAGAACCAGGAATGGTGGGTTAGAGTCTTTTATCACTGGTGAACTCTCCCCACTCACCCACACCTTTCTCACAGTGGTACTGCCCACGGAGTAGTACAATCAACGAAAACACACCTCAATATCGACGACAGCACAGAAACGGAATGACAGAGAGAGACCAAGAGCAAGCAATATATAACGCAGGCCAACAGGAAGCAAAGCACAGTGAGATCCTTCCTCTAAAGGAATGTAGGGTCAGCCAGAATTTACAAACGACGTTGCCGTGTGGTTACGTGTCTGTACAAGGATGGTCGTCCAATATACAGGCCACATATGCCTTCATAAACATGTCTCTTCAGACCGACGTTGTATCTATCCATTAGATGTTTATATTTCACATAAATTTTTTGAAGCTGCCAACCAACTTATAACGGAAACCTTGTTTTATCAATCTTGTAGTAATCATCATATTCCGTTTAATAAATTCATCATTGGTGCTGCATATTCACCCAATTCTCACTAATTGAGATATATAAACGCCATACGAAGGCCCGCGGGAATGTTGCTGCTCATAAAAGGAAAATAACAATACGGAAGTTGAAACTATCTCTCTTATCATAGACGGTGGTGGTGCATTATCCATCTTTTATTATAATGCCAACATACAAGTAAGAAACCATACCACTATTCTCGTTGTCTTCAACACAAGCTCAGATGGATATATCTCATTTATCACATTCTCAAAAGAGGGGTTATTTAAAGTGAGTAGATCGTCGATGTACCGAAAGGTGTTAGAAAATCCTCTCGCTTTAGACATATATTACTACTTATCAGCCTTCTCATATATACGTACTCAAAGTGAAATACATATAAATTTGCCAATGAAGGTGCACCATCCGACCCCATAGGTATACCTATGCACTGATGAAACACCCTATTACCTACTGACACATATATATTGTCAATAAGATAGTAGACCATATCTATTAGCTGAGCTTTACTGATGTTAATTTCATACTTATTGTCGGTACTCCAGAAACATTTACCTCTCTTAGTTATCGATAAATACATTGCTCCTCTCACCTTAAAGGCATCTTCTATCAATTGTTTCATACTGCTCTTCAAGGAATGATGTGGTATGCTTGTATACAATGTGGAAAAGTCAAAGGTGTCCATGGTTCTAGCCGCCGAAGTATCGTTGAGTGTATGCATTGATTGTAAGACTAACTGCGCATTATCAATTAACCCTTTGGGCGCCATAGGTGTCTCCTTAAATAAGCAGAAATTGATGTATAACATATTAGCGCCTAGTATTATAGCCATATATAAATTCTTATGCACTTATGGAGGCTCTGTGCATATATACATATATGTAAATGGCGCCCAAAGGGTTTTAACTCCCGTATTTTGTAGATACAAGACTCTATAAATCTCTCTAACAATACTCTTTAAAGTGTGTTTGTAGTTGTTAAAAATCTTGTCAACAACCCCGATAATTGCTTGGTTAAACATTTGTTTGACGCTGCAATAAACCTACTCCCATATGGGTTTTATGCAGCTTGGGTATAGCCAATACATCGTGGGCAACTGTTCCATTACAGGTGGTACATATATGTTCCAACGTTGCATATCCAACAGATGCTTCCTTACAAGTTGGTCGTACTTGTAATTACTGGCACTATACGTGGATGGTTGGCTAAAGTGTGAGGACAATGGTGAATGGAGAGCCAAGAATGCAGCATTGTAAAACTAGTTACTTGAGCGAACATGTAAGTCTTAGACTGCACACAATGCAGTCACAACCAAAACTGAGGAGCTGTCAGAGAGGGCAACACCTGTGCATTACTTGCTCAGGAAATATGAGGAGCACACTCATGCTTCGCAACAATATAGGGTTGTATTGCTGTATCACAGATTTTTAATTCAGTTATTGACCTGCAACTTTACTGCAGGTTTGCAAAAGGCTACAGTCACAATGTTTCGCATTGTGCATACCCCTTGTGTACAGTGTCTCATAACAGCAAGACTCTCCAGGTATGTGTATCTTTAAGATGTGTGTGTGTGAGGCACATCACACTACATAGTGAACACATGTACACTTGATTATGGTCTCTTGTTAAATGATAATGATGCAACTAGACCGTCGGATGGCTGATTGCCTGCACTACAATACTACAAGGAGCTCATGCTTGAGGACTACTTTGTTTGTACTAGACAGCCCCACTTGGCTCATAGTATGTACCATAATTACATGTGCTACAATAATAATGTTTGTACAAGTTCAACAGTATGTTGTACATGTATACCAGAACTGGTGCTTAAAAAGACTACGGAAATAAGCAGCCCACTTTCACATCTTGATGTTGGTGTAATTATCATTTATGATGGTATATGTGGCTTTTATTACCCTTTGCTAGGTCATTGCTAAGTTTATTCTAGTACAATAAATCCACTACACCACCTAAGTGGGTACTAAGGTGACAAATATCCCAGTGGTTAGGGTGTATATCTGAGGAATGGTGTGAATATCTACTGTGGGTAGGGTTGGAAATCATAGCTAAAAATATAGCAAAATCATGGCAAAATGCAGAAACCAGGTAATTTTAGGTTGATTACATAGCTCAAAATGCATGAGAAATCAAGTGATTTTAACTAGTGTAAAAATTTAAGGACACTCGACATTTCTGGGACGCATGTGTCTAAGAATACCAGTTAAAATCATATAGATCGTTTTAGGAGGGTATTTGGTACCGTCTTACTTCAGCAACAAAAAATGTCAGCCATTTACTGAGGATATCAGGGTCAGTGAGAGCTAGTACATCCCACGGTAATAGATTCTCGGATTCCTCTGCGAAGCATGCATTTCGCCTTTCGTGCCACGATAGGAAAGTAGAGAGCGCCCACTGAGTGCCTTTTTCGGTATTCTTTGGTACAAACTTCTTGCTGAGAGCCTCAGAATCCACAAACTGAAACCGCTCAACAGGTTTTATCCTTTCCTTTTAGAGAGAGAGAGAGAGAAAGCTGCGCTTTTTGGCCGACGGTCCGTCACTGGTTTCGGTCGCATGTCCGCTGCTACTTGGAGTCACGGATCTGCTGACACTCTGGCATTGGTTCATCGTCAAGCGGCGAAAAGGAGTCATTCCAGCCCTGTACTTTCGAACGAAAAGCCTCCGCCATAGCTAACCCCCGACGAGCGTTTCCAATCTTGTTTGACGTAGGGATCACGTGCATTGCCTTATTTGGAAGCGTGCGTGCCGCACCGACCAATCAACAGTAATAAACATTTTATCTTACCTTTCTGTCGCGGTGTTGCGGTCTATCCGCCCTCGGGTGTCGGACGGATAAACCTGCAACACCACTCCATAAGGTGTAATAACATATACATGATAGTTTGCCTTCAATCTACTAGCATGTTGCCATCCGACGACAACCTTTGTAAACTCCTATCTACAATGGCCTGTGTGGGTCCTCCCTTCTTTAAAGCTCTCTCTTAATATTGTCATTCACTTTGCAAGTCGTGTTTAGCTCTGAGGTGTGTTTTGTGTTTCTGAGAACCTGTATCTACTATGGGCAGTCTCACCGTGAGAAAGGCATGGGTCAGTGGGGAGAGTTCATCGGTGGTAAAAAGACTCTTTTAACCCCACCATCCTTGGTACTCAAGGCCAGGGCACCCACTATGCCTTCTCTAAAGTGATGCTGCCCTACATTTGTTACTTAGTAGTGCTGCTATTCATTACAATTTTTACTCTTTTAATATATCCGACACCATTTCATATCTTTCATTAACAGTCCTTCCATCATTTTGATATAACCTATGTCTGTATAATTATTGTGCTCTGTGCATCAGCTCATGCATGTATATATATGGCTAGTCCATTTGTGTGTTTGTGGATGTTGTTTGGCTATGCAGGTTGTGAAGCCCTCAGAAGCCCCTCTCCTCTCTCTTATTCTCTCCATGTAAGAGCGTGAGCTGTTCAGTTTACATGTGTGTTTGCATCCAATGACAATTATAGCAAGATGATCAACATCCTCAGAACTACACATCACATTCCTCTCTACACCAGAGGCATATAAGAGTATATGTAATAACATTATACAGAACCCAGTGGAACTAGCAGGTGTTCCAAAGTTACACTGGCAGACAGAAAACGTCGTACCTTGTTCTGGTAGTTGATGACAGCTCCAGCTGATATCAGTTTCTCCACAATCTCTGTGTGACCTTTTCAGCAGCTATCCCCAGAGGAGATGAGAGAGGATAGGGCTCTTGCGCAGTGCTCGCCAAGCTTTCGCTGTCCATGACGGGTGTTGGTCCTTCTCTGGGACAGAGACGGGGGGTGCATTTCCTTCCCTTTTTCATCCGACTTTTGAGCACTTTCCTCCCTTTTCCCCGAACCTCGCGTTCTTAAATCTTGCGGAGCTGGGCGCTTTGGTTGGGGGAGGTGTGGACTCTGATCAGAGGGGTTGGGAGGGGGGCCCGGAAGGGGAGGGGCAGAGACACGCCTCGGGGTTGCGTCTTGTGTGATATTGGCTAGGAAATGATGGATTCCAGTTTTATATTAAAGTGTATATACTGCAAGGATACCGTGCGTATTGCGCCACCGCCGGTTTACACGTGTGTACGCTACTGGCGTTTGTCCTGTTGGCGTTTAGCTGTTGCTGTGTGCTTGTGTAACTGTGGTCCCTTGTGGCTTTACTCCTGATCATGTAGCGACTGGTCCCGGTTTTTTTTTTGCCTGTGGAGAGAAAGGGGGGGGGGAGGGGGCGGGCGGGGGGGCGAGCGGCGGGGGGGCGGGCAGGGGGGGGCGGGGGGGGGGGAGGGGGAGGGTAGGGGGGCGGGGGGGGCAGTGGGTGGGGGGGGGGGGGTGGGGGGGGGGGGGGGGGTGCGGGGGGGGAGCGGGGGTGGGGGGGGGGGTGGGGGGGGGGGTGGGGGAGGGTGGGGGGGGGGGGGGGGTGGGGAGGGGGGGGGGGTGGGGG